ACTTTTAATGGCGCCAATTTGCCAAAAAGTAAACTAATATAGGCTTATAATAAACAGGGCTTACGTTAAAACCCACAGCATTACTCATTGACTCTACAGTAAAATTATATATATATATATATATATATATATATATATAGTGTCAATGGCTGTACTGACATTCCCACGAGTAAAAACCCTGCTTTAGAATACGAAAATGTAGCTGTGAAGTTGTCATCTCTGCATGGACAGTCTCACCCTGAGCCCTCCTCTCTGTCAGGAGGAGTGAGTCATGTCTGAGAAGCACTATTATTACCGTCTGCCTGGGGTGGGAATTAGAGATAAGCTGCAGTGGAGGACTCATTTAAGAGAGTAAGGAAGGAAGTTGGAAAAAAATGATGCGAGTGTATCCTCACTTCAAATCTCTGGGTGAAAATGTGCGACAGGGAAACTGAAGATAACTTTTAAAAGTCAAATTTCCCTCTGATAACATGATAGTAATTAGATATGATTAATGTGGCAGATAATAGTCTCATGTGCTTAAATTACAATTATTTATGATAGTAAGCAACACAATTTTCTAAATTGAGTCATTGGTCATTTTTTTGTTAATTATAAGAAGCAATCATATTTTTTAGCTACATTTGATCATATTCCTCTAAAACGTCAATGGTAACCATATCAGACTTAACTGCAAAATGAGTGAGTGTACTCCCCCTTTGGCTGCATTGCTTTGCATTCATAACAGTGTTAGCACAATCAGGACCTGGAAATATGCAAGTTAGAACAGCTAAGTCAATACTTTCTGATTACTGTATGACAGCTGGCATAGATTTGCTTGTGATAAGGGATGCACCTTAACTGGCTGTTGTTGATCCCAAATGCAATACAACTTCCTTTAACAACTAAAAGGGTTCAAGGGGTTTAATTTCGGTTTGATTTACTCACTAATTGCTCTGTAAACAGTGTTTTCTTACTCTCCAGCCACCACAAATCGGAGGAGAAAAGATTTTGAAGCTTTACCGACAGCAGCAGCGAGTGCTTCCTGAGTTTCCCCTCTAAGGCTAGAGATGGCAAGTTGGCAGTTAGTCTACAGGGCTGGAAAAAAAATACTGAAAAACCATTCTGTACCTTTTCTAAAAAACATATTGTATAGTACATTGAGATTACATACTACCCAAGCATTATAGTTTTGATTACATCTGTTCTAAGAAAAAAGTAGCACATAAAAGGCAGTGAAGGAGAGAAAATGCAAATACAATATTAATAATACTGCAATTTACATAGAATTCTTTATTATAAACCATTACTGTAGAAAGCCTGATAGCTGTTTTCATGATACTGGGCTATCGGTTTGTTCTTATAGTTGATGAACCTCTGAATTCATGTGTGCCCAAACCAAAATCCTTAAATGGAATGTTTACAAAATTTACATCATAATAAAAATAAAAAGATCACAACTGGGAAATAGTGATATTTAAAAACCATTTACCAGGGGTAAAGTGCTCAATCATACTGTTAAATAATCGACACAAGTCATCACCACCGTTGTAAAGTTAACATAAGTACAATATCAGTCCCTCTTTAGCTAGCTAGCAACATGTGCACACCCTTGCACCATTAAAATAAACTAATGGGATGCTTATAGGGGCCCTGGCCATCAGGCCCCACGATCTGAAAGTTCACGTTGAACGCGGGTATACACAGACACACACACACACACACACACACACACACACACACACACACACACACACACACACATATGGTTTGTCCGTCCAGAACTGGGAGTGAGTTAGTGCAGTAGGGCCAGTTCCAGTTCTGCCGTGCCCCACCAAGCAGAAACTGGCAAGAAGCACCAGGCACAAAGACAAATGTACTCTCTACGAAGCAATACGTTTCAAGAGAAGAGATTCTATTCAGAATATGATGAAATATTGCAAAAATGTTATAAAGTAGACAAAGTTGGCTTTGCCGTTATTGTGTCGGAAATAGAGAAAAGACTAACTTTCTTCTGTAAACAGCGCCCTCTGATGAGGCCGTGCCCCACGGGCCCCGAATGCAAAAACGCAGATGTATGTACGTGTATACTGAAATCAAGTGCTGACGAGCCTCACTTCCTGAGATGCCGCATCATAGATTTATCATCATGAGTTTTTGTTCCTGCTGCCAGGTCCGATAAAAGACGTCGAGTCAGTCGGTTGCGCAGAGAGCTTTCCGAGTATTGCACAACATGGTGAAAACTTACAACACTGAAAGTGGCGAGAGAAGAGTTTCCTCTGAAGCTGTCAAGGTTTCTTTTTAGCCCTGTGCTGATATGAGGCTTAAAGTATCATCCCAGCCAGTTCGAGGCCACGTGAAAGCTCTTTACGTCTAGAGTTCATAAACTTTGTTCTCCACATAATTTGATCCTGACGTCCCTAGACCTCGCTGACACTTAGCATGAGCTTTAATTAACACAAATCGGACACCTAGGAAGGAATCAGGTTGTTTTGCACTTTGCGACCTGAACATAATCGTTGGCAAAGAGAGAACTTACTCATTCTTCAAGAAAAAAATAGCACTGTCTTTTTAGTTCCCTCAAGAAATAATAAAAAAATAAAACCACTTGGCTGAATGCCGTAAAGCCATTAAAAGCATCTTTTGTGCTTCAGTGGCTACCATCAAGTGACTCGTCTTGTCTTTCCCAAAACATGTTGGTATCTTGTCAAACAGAAACAAATGCACAACATAAGCCGTGTCCTTAGCTCAACCTATAAGCGGCAATAGACAAGCATTTTACTTATTATGAAGTAAATGTTAATTAGATTGTAAAGGCAACAGAATAATGACACCATCTGTGTTTGGATTGGTTCCCTTTAAGCATTGCTTTCACTATGCAGTTGTGTTCTGCTGCCACCATAAGATCTCGCAGAAAAATTAAGACTCAGTTTACGTCACAAAAGACGTCAACCAAAAATTTGAAATGTTGTCCGTTTACACTTTAAAGTAAAAGTCAACAAGCAGCAACATCCTCCATCTTCTTACTGCTTTCAGGAAATGGCCACCTGGAATGAGCCAGAGGGTGCTGTAAGATATTATGTGACTTGAGTGATTTTGTTAGTCTCATGACTTAATATTACAATGGGGGGGGGTGAATATTGGTGTGGATTTAAAAAGTTATTGTCTAGTGTTATGTATGAAAATCTTCAGACAACAGATGTTTTCTAAATACTGGACACTGTCTCAATAAATAACTTCTCCCAGTTAAAGTAGGGCTATGTTAATTGAGATGCTTTATTTCAGTTCATTAAAGGAATTGTTCAAACTTTTGGGAAATACTCTTATTCACGTTCTTGGCAAGTGTTGTATAGGAAGATTGATACCACTCTCTGTTGAGCCGGTGGCTCGCAGCCAACTGTGCAAACAACGACAAAAGTGCTAACAGATCTAACGGTGTTTACATGAGGGGAAACCGAAGGGTGGGTCCTACACTTCCATGTTACAGATGTTATCAGCTGTATGAGAACAGTGCAGAGCAGCGGCTGTGAGCTAGCCAGTGGGGCACGCTCACATTCACGAATATGCACTAAAAGTACACGTGGCCAGACCGGCTATGTCATCAAAGCAAGGAGAAACTCCAGTCCGCTTCATCTTAACAGTGCAAATAGTTGTTCGCTGCACTATTAATGCATATGAATCCCGTATTTTGCACCTTTAAAAAAAGTGTGTTTGTGTGTGAAGAAGAGCAGATTGAGAGTGGCTGCCATGATAAATCATACATCGTAGAAATATTCATCAGTTTACAGTGGAGTGAAAAGGGGCAGGATAATACAGGTTTGACTAACAGATGCCTTAGCAAATGAATAAATAAGTTTGCACCTAAAGAGAACATATGGCAGAAAGACATTTATGTTGCACAGGGAGCTTTCTGTCTCGATCTAAACTTGATTCCCCCTCAGCTTTTATGAAGATTTTCTCTCACAAACAGTTTGGTTGAAGGCTGAAAATCAATGAGCGAGTATTAAAACAGCCAAAACAACTAGCAATGATGCAACACCTATCTGGACCCATTCCTCTACACCTCATCAACTCCAACCACACCCAGCTCAACCCTCTCACTCCCCCAGCGTGTGCGCGCACACGCACACACACACACACACACACACACACACACACACACACACACACACAGGTTGTAGATGGGTCAGCTGTTAGTGGAGTTGGGTGCTCATTTAAACGATAAGAGAAAGAAAGACAAATCAAGAACAAGATGATGTCAAACACAGACAGCTGAATTGGAGAAGAGGTAAAGACGGAATGTGATAGTGAGTGGGAGGTTGTGTGTTTTTGTGTGTGTGTACAAAAAAAGAAGAGTGAAATGCAGGAGAAGGGACAGAGAGAGTGTTTTTCCAGCTCCAGAATCTATTTAATAAAAAAAATAAAAAAAATGCTTTTTCCCCCACTGTTGTCAGGGGACAAACAGGGAATGTTCGTTGAAAAAAAAAAAAACAGACTGATGTGTATTTAAGAGTGAGGTGCTGAAGTGTAACCCTGTTCATGTTTAGTCACAATCCTCAGGTTTGATATACTGAATTAAGCTTCCTGGGCAAAATGCCAGCTCAAAGCTCTGAGAAGCTGTGCGGCATGTTGCCAGGATGATATCCAACTTATCTCCAAGTATATGGACACTTGTGTTGGCTAATTAATAACACAATTACAGGCGGAGTTTCAATAGGACTACACGAAGATAAGAGCATTGAAATGGCTGATTTGCACAGGCCCCTGAGCAATTATGAGGTAGTTTTGTAGCCCTGTTGGACTTGGTACTTGGTCAAATCTAAACTTAATGTATACTTGCAAGTACAATTTAATTTGTTTCCTTTTAGAATGTTTTCACTAAAACATAATACAGCTTGGTTAATCATCAGATTGTGTTTTAACATTGAATCAGTTGGTCTTCAGTTGGACTTACTGCATCATACTCTAAAACTGTGGAAATGTTTATTATTGGCAGCAACAAGCCACCAGCTGTGACCTACCTAACAGAAGCAGTTTCACTTCTCGGGCTGCCTTCTCCCCGTCCTCTCGGAGGTTTTTGTCGATCATCTTTGACCTCTCCGCGGCAGCCTTATCCTCGGCGCTCACTGTACAACCCATGGCTCCAAACGCAGGGGCGCACCGACCAATTGCGAGAAGAAAAAGGCTTCAATGCTGATGGCCTCAGCGCGTACCAGCCGATGTCAAGAATGGAGCAGCTCCTGCGTCTCCCGAGTCTCCTGCGTCCAGCACTGCCTTCGAGGAGCGGCCGATTCCAGAGTTGTTTTTAACACACGCGTGAAGTCAATGTCCCCGCTCCCCTGTTCAAGCAAGAGATCAAAGATGAAGCAGATCTGCAGCCAAATTATTTGGTTTATTACACCAGGCTTTTTAGCACCACTTGGCCGTGCCGCACCGCTCACAGCCCTCCGTCCCGCAACCATTCACAGGACGCCTAGTGCTCGCTGCTCCGCTGCGGACTGCAACACTTGTCTCATCGGCCTGGTGAGCAGCACGTCCCTCAGTAGCGCGACTACTGCAGTCCTTTTTCGGTGCTCCTCAGTTATCCTCCTCAGACGATTGGAATTGGTCGACCAGTGGCATCGACGTCCATTGCGCAACTTGTCGCGATAGTCCAATTAAAACAGGTGAGCGCCTCACGGTAGAGGGGGGGGGGGGGATGCGTGATTTCAGCAGTGTGGTGTGTGGACTGCAGTGGGCGCTGTGCCAACTTCACTCCTCTGCATCTCACATGGAGGACGAAAGAAACGCAACGTATACATCTGACTGATTGAAGTGCGCAGGAGTAGGTTTGCCTTGGAAGAAGCAGGACGAGCTGTTAATATGGCTAAAAGGTCTTTGTGTCACATGTTAATGAAATAGCCTTCCACACAATCAAGCTGGCTGACAGCGCCGCCATGTGGACATAAATAGACATTTTCTCTGGCGGCAGATACTGGGCCAAATGTTCTGGAAAGCCATAAAGTGAAAATGATAATAAATAATATGTATTTATATAATAAGAAATGCAGCTCAAAGTGTTTCACAAAACAAAACAGGCCATTCTAACAACAGTTAATGTTGAAATATACTGAAAAAAGAAGGGTTGTAAAATAATAAACACAAACAAATTAAAATTAAATAATTAATTAAATAATTACAGTAACAACGGTTTCATCAGAAATGTCTCCCATCGCCTCAATTCATTCAGCCACAAGTTAATTTATTTTTATTCTTTAAGTCTTAAAGTAAGGTCAGCAATGAAGGATCATGATGACCTAAAGTAGTGTTTTTTATGTAAACACAACTTAGCCTCGTCAGATTGACACCATAAGAACACTGACCAGGTATAAAAACTCTACTTTTAAACCTACTACACAAATGCGTTTGGGGATGAAGATGGTATATTCCTACAAGGATCAAATGTGGAAATGTCCATTCAATTTATAAAAAATCTGTTAAGTTGCATACAAATAAAAAGCAACACACACTCAAAAACCATATGATTGAATTTAGGCTGATTTGTTCATTTGCGCTTAAACACAACAAGCAGAAAAATGTGCTGCTTAAATAAGAATTAGTTTCAGTGAAGGGGAAATGATGACAACAGAGACAATGTAAAAACATCTACAATTATTTTATTGGCAAACTAAAACTGTCCCTGCTATTTACACTTTACAAGCTATTGTAAATATGCATCACACATATAAAAGGTTTACATTTATATACATTATTTATATAAAGCCACATCTTATTCACCAAAATTCATATACCATATTATATTATAGTTGTGTCATTTCCATAAATCTATTTCTTGAACAACAGCTGTAATAAAATATCACACAGATTTGTTTAGGTACAAGAAAAATGCATATTTGACATACGGCGTCTGGTATTAAAACTGTGGTACCTGTTAAAAGGTTAAGGCATTTTAAAGCAGTAGGTAGTCAGTTCTTGTTTTGGCATGATACCTTTAAGTGAATAAAAACTCTGTTCACTAAACATGACAAAACTAAACTTTCATTAACACCACTACAACCATTGTAAATACATGTGGAAAAGCAAGGGACGGAGGTTGGTATGTGTATAAGTATTTCCGAGACTTATTCACAATTTATCCGTAAAAATCAAAACTGCTAAAGGAATAGATACTATATAAATACATTTGGAGAAGTAATGATTTACGCAGGACTGTTATGAAGCCTGAAACTTGCGATACAATATAAGACCACCGTTGGATAAGAGCAGAAAATATTTGTTATAAAATTTCTCTGAGTTTCTATTGAAAGTTTAAACACTTTTGTGCTGTTTTTAAACTTGTTAATTTGTGATTTATATATAATGAAATGTAATTTGTAAAAAAAAAAAAAATAACTTTATTGCATGTTGTTGTGCTTTTGTGAGTCTCAAAATTCACCTGAAGACTGACTGAAAGTATCCATGAATGTGTCATCACTGACCTCACTGACAGATCACCACAACAGTAATGTTTGAAATATTATGTCATGTAGCATCTTTTAAGATGGGCTTCATAATACTAATGTTAACTATAGCACAGAATGAGACTTCAATACACTTCACTGCAAGATGCCAAATGTACAGTTTTACAATAACATCTATGCATGACAGTGTCAGAAGTTTAATCTCTGTGTTCACTACAAGACAGACTGCAGATAACATCATGCAAAACGTTAGCGTCAGGTCTAAATAGTCAACAAGGATCAAAATACTACAAAGCTGTTTCAACAGAATCCCAAAAGCATAATACATCTTTAAATTAAGAAAAATGAACTCCCACCAGCGGGTTCATCTTTACAACTCATGTTGCATGGACAAACATTGTTCGAGCTTAGGTGGGTTCAACCAAATTATAAAAAAAAAAAAATCACATTTTCTAACTGATCCAAAGTGGTGTCTAGTCAAGATAGTTTTTTGTTTTTGTTTTATTTGCATACGTTTTTAAGATATGTACATTGCTTAGGTGTCCACATACTTTTGTCCTTATAGTGTAACTCAAGACCTGAGCAATTACAACCAAAACTATCTGCATGGCTGGAAACCATGTTTCCAGCCATGCAGATAGGTGACTTCCAGATATTAAATGTTAGTTAGTGAGCTTTAGAGGGTATGGAAGGCGTTCAGCCTTTGTAGTAGTGTATCAATCTTCTAATCTAACAGTTTGCAAGAATGTGAATAAGTGTATTTTCACAAACTATTCATTTAATTTAAGTTTGAATTTTCAACATTCAGTGTGGATAAAAAGAGATTTCTGAATTTATAAAAACTTAATGAGAAATTTAAAGGGGGTATCTAGAATTTAAGAGATTTAGGAGCTAGACTCACATGTGAACTGTCCGTTTAAAACTTGAGCTGTACTTGGTTTATATTCAAGTAGTCACAGTTTGGCATACGTGAGCTGAACGTTCTGCAAGGGGAGGTATGAAATGCTAAGATCAAGCTCTTTGTATTTTATAAACAAATCTGAATATCATCATTCGTAACTCCTTCCATTATTAATATACTGTAAGCTAAAACAAAAACTGATATCATACAATCAATTTGGATCATTGCCTTTATCATATACAGTAGTTAAATATCGTCCATTTGAAATTAATAGTGTCTAAATAAATATACAATCCTGTTTTGCTGTGTGTTTGTGTGCTGTTCCAAATGCTATAAGGCACCAAGGTTTCTGAAGAGAGTTAGCAGATCTGGAACAAAAGCTTAGTGGGATGCATTACATAACACCTCCACAGACCATGAAATGAAATACCACCTGCACTCTAAGGCCTTAAAGCACTTTTTTTGTTTTACATTACATCATGATGGACACTTCAGAGAGCAGCTGGTCAGGATGAAATCATCTGACTATTCTCTTTTGTGTGTCTTAGGAAAAATAATTGAAATTGGTGTGAAAAACAACAAGTTATTTCTCATGCATATCTTGATGCATTCCCGTCTTCAGCCTAACAGACGATCATGCCTTCTTTTTCTGTACAGTACCAGCTACAGTTGTTTGTGTGTCAATAAAAAGGAAGCAACAGGAAAGGAGGAACCAACAGATGGTAATAAAAAAAGCCCCTGTTTAGTCCTGATTATTCATACAAATTGCATTACGTGTTATGTTAAATTAATTATGTCGTTATGCAAAGGCTAATTTAACTCGATCAATTACAGTGTGATCTCAACCGACATACTATACTGTATATTTTGTTACAAACCCCTGCAGGCTCTGTGCAGCCCTGTAGCGATCCCACTGAAGTGACTGTGTTCTCTTTACATTGACCAGTTATTTTCCCCCTTTCCAGAGCTCACAAACACCGAAGCAGCATCTAGTGGCCTCCAGCAGCATGGCCGCCCCCTGAAGTCCAGTCGATGATTATGAAGCTCAGACTCATTACCATGAAAATGACACCCAAAGCTGCAAAACAGGCCGCCTAAGAACGAGGGGAAAAGAGCACATCGATGGCATTGATGCTTAATTATCAAGAACACCATTCCATGGCAATAGCCTTTATCACATGGGATAATCACCAACTAAGCATAATGAATGACTGAAGGGGGAAAGATTTCAAGGCCTCACCAGTATCTTAGGAACAGAGTTCATGGGTTCATCTTCTTTGGGAACAATGCGGATGTAAAAGACAGCAGGGAAGATGAAAATGAGGCAGGGAGCCGACGTTGCGCCTGTAAGGAGAACGAGCAAGGGCTGGTGAAAAACAAAGCAAATAGCACTGCAGCGATATGAAGACAAAACATTTGGAAGTCTAATTATAATCAGTTTGTAAGTAATCTGAGTGAAATGACTCAACACTGGAATATTTTAGCAATCTTACCAAGTTTTGTTGAAATAATATTATTTTTCAGGGTGCTTGATGCATCATTTGTTGTTGTTTTTTTTTATTTATCATTTAATTTTTTCTATTATTGTATTTCATTTGCCCATTACTGGGCAACAAGTGTTGCTGTCCTTTTAATTTGTTCCTGCATCTGATTTTTTTCTTTTTTTCATTCATGAATTATGTATTTAATGACCCAAAAAAAAGGTTTTGAAGATAATACACAGCATGTTAAATATAGTTTACAGTGACAGACAGAGTGATACAGTGGTGATAGAAAGTGAGGGAGAAAAAGCAAAGACAGGCCCTATGCATCCCCTGTGAGTTAAAACGAAATCAAAAATGCTCCAGAAGGCTTGCTTTGCGAATTATATTTTCATTCAGATTTTCTTATATTAATGATTTTTTCTTCATATCAGATTCACCTGTTTTCTTAATTCAAAATTGACACAGACAAGTTTCAGGATTGTAAGCCCTAACAATATCCAAAAGTTGTTGCAAACAGCTCCATATATTGCCTCATCTGCATGCACATGTTTGTCAAAGCAGAATCTGGCTTTGAAGATGCCCGTGGCGCTCTTTTGACTGCAATTTTTTAAAACTTTGACCTCTGACCTTTGAAACACGAGGACAAAGCGTGACAATAATATTGACTTGGTTTTTCCGTGAGCAAACATGCTCTGGTCACGTTTTTTTTTTTTTTTTTGCTTTAATGTTTTTTTGTGTGTGTCAGAAACGTGAACGCTTGAAATACAACAAACACTGCTAGATCAAACAGAAGGGTTGTACACAGCGACAAAATAAGTAACTCATAATAATGACATCATATGTAGAATATCTAGTCGAATAAATCCAGACAAGTGGATAAATAAGACCTGTAGGATATGTTGTTTCCTATCATTGTTCTAATGTTTATTAGTTATGATATAGCATATGTTTGCTACTTGTCTGCAACTTTTAAGTCTGTCATGGTGACAATGTTTCTATGTTTTTCTACGATACTTTTGATACAATTTCATCTTTTTGTACTGTGCTGTACTAACCAATGATGCCGAAGATGCCTAGAATGTTGGGGGCGAATATCACCAGCATATTGATGATGGTGAGCAGAACGACAGCAATGGCAATGTGACGCAACCAGTTGAAAGACTTTGTGGGGAATGCCATATGCTGGATGGCTCTACGTACCTGTGGACAGAGCAGACAGAGGATTGAATGAGGAAATAATACCACGATATCATAGTCATTGAGATACGCAGGGAACAAATCAACAACAAACTTACAGGGAACAACACAATAGGGACGGTCAGCGTCACAGCCGTGAGGACGGCCACTCTCACACACAGGATCAAAGTGTCGTAAGGATCGATCCGGCTGTATGTGTGCAGCAGTTCAGGCTCCACATTGCCTAAGGAAATATGTGAAAAATAGATATAGAAAAATGTACTTTCTTGATAAAGTCTCATGTGAACTTCACTGAGTAATAATCTAATATAGCACTGGCGAGCCAGAAACTCTAGCTTGTCACCACAAGATGGAGCTTGTGCTCTATGTGGAGGATGAGATACTGTACCAGGCTCTGTTTCTCTTCAATGCAGAAAAACACATTAATACCGCATATTATTATCTGACTCAACAACATGCAGTAAATTAAAACCATAGATTAGAACATTTGTTTAAAATCTGAAAATGATTACATAATTTAATCTGCTTCCATTGCATTTTGCCACAAAACATATTTGAGTATTTTTAAAAGCTGCATTATGGCAAGATTTTCCTTTATGTACTTTAGTGTTCTATATAAAGCAGAATCCCCTCATCATAATTACAGACCCTGTTGATTCCTCGATTTGGACAAAATTATTATTCTTTTTCTCTTTTTTCTTCTAAAAACAGCAGCAAAACAAAGTATTTTTTATATTACTGTGACCTAATGTCCGTCCCATTCTTGTGAACGCAATATCTCAAGAACACCTTGAGCACATTTCTTCAAATATGGCATAAAGGTCCACTTGCACCGATGAACTGATAAGATTTTGGTGGTGAAAGGTCACTGTGACCTCACAAAACACGTTTTTGGTCATAACTCAAGAATTCATATGCTTTTTATGACAATTTCACATAAACGTCTAACTGGATCAAATTATGAAGTTATGACATTTTGGACAGACATGGATGTAAACTGCAACATGACTGGTTGACGAATGCATACAATCACAAGGCGATAATTCTAGTTTTACAAAAACAAACATCTCTCAGTTTAACTGCCTCTATACGCCTCAAAGCATCACTCCTTTTGTTTTACTGTGTATCGCTGCCCTGACGATCTGATTTTTTTCCTGAATATTATTTTTCCAACGATAGTGTAAAGACAAACTCCCAAAAAGTAAGAACTCTTCTCACCATAAAAGGTCAGGTAGCCAAAGAGAGCTGCCAGAAAGTACATGGTGTACATGACAAGGATGGAGATGTTGGACACCTTCTGCATCCTCTTCTGCGTTGGACTGAAATCAGACAGTCGAAAGTTATTTGAATTCACCATTATGCAATGACATGTTGTAAAATATATGCAGGTGAGGGGTGACTCACTTGCGGAGCTCGGTGTAGATGGGGAGGACCTCAGGGTGGCAAACAAAGGCGAAAGCCAAGATGGGGATGGTGTATGCTGTCTGTTAAGAACACATTAACACGTGACTTTCTATGATTAGAAGTGCAACCGAGGCTCTCAAAATAAGTGTGGGAACTCTGCAGACATCAACGTTTGTTGCTTTACTGTTCGAAAACAATGCAGATAAGCAGACTGCGTTTTCAGCTCAGCTGCTTACCTGTGAGTTCATGGTGATCATGCGTGGGGAGCAGTGGAAGTCATCGTCTTCATGAACCAGACCATTGTCGTACTCATGGCCGTGGCTTGAGACGTTCAGGCCGAGGTGGGCAGCAGTAGTGTTGGCTGAGAACTCTTCGAAAGGGCAGGGGATCTGAAACTTCTTATAGATAACCTGCAGGGGGATGCGGAAAAATGAAGAAAAGAACAGGTGGAATCGAAGAAAAGACGTAAGCAAGAAGGGACGCAATAAAACAAGTACTCAAAATAACCACTGCCAACGTCAGATTAGTGTGACTCAGTCTCTAAGTACTTAGGTTTTACTTTTAACCTTTGATGTGCATTGAGCAGCTCTTATATGCGCCTTATCAAACATAGCAACACACCACCAAAAATAGAGATGAGGGTGGGAAGAAAGCAAGTAACGTGCCAAGATGACGTGCCAGAACAAATGAGTCTCCTTGTGAAGAGTCACTGTGACGATGTTCTACTATGTGAGCAGGACCAACTTACTGCAGAGAGAAAAAACACCATACAGCTGAGCGAAAATCCACTGGTATAGCCGAGGTAACCTGAAAATGAACAGGAAAAGACAGTTAATGTTAGAGCTCCTGATCCACTTGGGCTTCATGTGTTGTTTGTGACGACTGCGATCTGTAATAGTTACACAAGAACTTCACAGAGCTAAGAGTCAGACGAATGACCTCACAGCACTATGGGACCAGAAAGAGCATATTTATATTATATTAATGAATAGTTCAGAGGGAGGGATCAACTCAGAGAAAATTATGTCTAATTGGGCACCTAGTGTTCCCTCTGCCAGAGGTCGCACTAAGACACACTAATTGCTTGACTTTGAGGTAACTGCTGCATCAAAATGCGCTTACCTAAGCTCAAAGTCAAAAGAAAAAATGACTTTAATGAACAAGTCCTAAAGATAGAAAATGTTCCTGGAAAGAGCTAAACTACAAATGAATTAACTTGAGGATCTTCAGCTTCACAGCAGAGCGTGTGTAAAAACAGACGGATAGGCAAAGAAGTGCAAGGACGTCATTGACTTATAGTCTCTTAATATTAGGAGGCAGGAACTAAGCCCAGTAACAAAAACTGGAACTTTTGGAACCACATTTCCAACACAAAAAGAAAAGATAAACAAAAAGCTATGGGTGACAATATAAAAGTACCTACCATAAACCAAAATGACGAGCTTGGATGTCTTTGTTTCTCATAGTTTTGACTTACTGTATGATTATTTTGACCTACCATAAGTATTTTTACTATGCATAATTTTGGGCACTTGGGCAGATCTGGGCTTCCATTGAAACTAGACCCCAGTGGTCAAAATGTAGGTGAGTTCCTAAAGATATCCCTGGAAAAGTTCCTGTGGTGAAAAGAACCACAAATGTTTCCCTTGCTTGCAGCTCCAACTGCACTAGTTCTACTCACCGAGCTGTTTCATTAAAGCCAGGGGCAGGATGATACTGGCAGAGACCATGATGACCAGGTAGTTTCCATTCAAGTACCACAGACTGTTTGGAGAAAACTATAGTTTACTTTGGTGACCTCAATATTTCAAACATTGGCACAGAGAGACACAGCACACAGAGAGACGGGGACAAAATTACAGCGGAAAATGTGTTAGATGGTAAGATATGGTTCAACATATTTAGTGAAACGTTAGTACTACTTTCTCTAAAATCACAAAAATCTACTGGTCCAAACGGATGACGTGCTGCATTTTGCCTGACCAAAAAAAGCAACCTGCTGGGAACATCCTTGGCTACAAAACTGTGGAAAAAACATGTCTGCTTATGTTGCTCTCGACAGAAGTACTGGAGTAGACTGTATGTAACTCTGATGATTCATGCGACTGTTCACAGTTGCAGAATAGGAAAACAGTGGAGCCTCATCAACACAGCACCAAGGCAAGGCGTCAGTAAACATTACCAGCTTATTCCATCACACCATCGTCACTTATGTCCCTTTAGTTCTTTCATAACAACCCCACAACAAACATCGGTATTACTCACCCCAGACCATAACAATCTGGTGAAGGGTTAATTGAAAGGGTGGAATACCCAAGGCACATTGTAGGGATTGTGCTAAATTAAAAAGCCTTTATCTAACATTGCAATATGTATTTAAAATGACCTACGCATTGCGACCGACATGGGTCTTCATCTGGGTCATTGTCTGCAGTAGCTTGCACCTATACTTCAAACCGATAGGGGGACCATGCTGCTGTTTCGTCATTGGCTATATGTGGGCACCATTAAACAACATCCTGTGAACGCCCTTCATAAAACACAACACCCTCACATAACCTAAAAAGCCGCCACAACATGTATATGTGTCTTTTTAACACATGTTTAAGTCCTTGAGGTGGGCAACCACCAGTTTACTTAAAGGAATAAAAAAGACAAACGATCCTTGTGTGTCTTTCTCAGGAAAACAAATATACATGTAATTAGTAGCTGTAGACCTGGGATGAGCACCAGCAACAGGAAGCTTAAAGAAATAATTGTCAATCATCAAAGACCGCTGTCTCCTAAATCCTGTGTATAGAACAGTCTTTGTGTCCTACAGCCCCTTTTTAAGCTGCTAAACCTGTTATTCTTAACCTTCTGGACAAAACACAACCAGTCAACTGTCTGCCATCACCCTACAGTGATCTATGACACTAGCTCTGTGTGTATGTGGAACATGGAGGAAGTCAGGCAAGTCACAGGTCATGTCCTCTTACGACATTTAGCCAGTAGGCCATTTGAGACGATCAGCTTTCTGCTGTGATGTGATTCCAGAGCTGTTGAGGGAAAGTCGAATCTAAAGTTAAACAAGACCAATCCAAGTCAAGTGAAAAGGGGTAGGGTTAGTTTTCATAAGCAAACTGCAAGTGTTGCATTTAAACATTTTAATTTGAGATGTCTTAATGCACAGCTGAGTGTTTGTAATGTATAATTATCAAATATGTTAGCTGACTGGTTAAGAATGGCCTATAGCACTGTTTTATTATTCTTTTACAGTGTCAATGATATTAGCTTGTGATGTGAAGTTATAAAATAAATATTAGCAGAAATAATGTCATGAATGATAAGTAACAGAAAATTGTAATCACTGACAGAATTCATTTTATCCTATTCTATTCTGTTTTTATTTTGAAACTGTAAAATGTCTTGATATTTAGCACATATTTAGGTCGCAATTTTTAAATAACCAATTTAGGGGATCCTATTGTGTTACTGTATGTGTTTGTATAAAAAAAATAGGCATTGGCCCAAATATTGGGATTGCTATATTGTATCTGCATCAAAAATGCAGTATCAATTAGGCCCAAGTCTTTATGGAGTCAAGTGTCACAGAACAGCAGTGAGTCCAAGTCCATGTCTCAATCTTAAATTCAAACTTTTGTGACTTGGTCTCAAGACTACAGCTCTGAGTGAATTCCTCCTACTTCCAAATATCTGACCCTCTTGTGTGACCCCCCCAGCACACCACCTCCCGCTCCTCAGGCACCCTGTTCTCCTGACGCCATGGATCTGAACAGAAACAGGCGCACTGAGTGGAAATGAACAGTGTGTCTTGGTTGCTGGGTGCCAGCCCTCAGCTGACCTGTCCTTACGCTCGACCACGAAATTTGGCACCCATGTTCAACCACCTGCTGCTGTCATTTGTGAGTGCGGGTGTGTGTGTGTGTGTGTGTGCGCGCTTGCATGAGACACAGAAAGAGCATGAGTCACAATGCTTCATACGTCAATTTCGATTGTAGCTAAGCCCCTGAAGTGAACACACACAAACATAGACATATGTATTACTTCATCCCACTCTAAAATTACTCAGTGATAAAAGGTAGCGTGCCCTTTAGAAGGCTTAGATGTTAGAATTCTTTCTAAATGGTATGGCATAAAATATGGAAAAACACACTCTGCTGAGTATTGTGTATTACAGTGGATGCATTAGAGGATTGTCTAGATGTTTAGCTCCAATATTTAAAACTCTTTTTTTAATCTTTAAGACCTGAGATGGTTTAAGAGGGACTGCTGCAGTCGCTGCAATCCCTTTTCGAGCACACGGTTTGTTTTTAGATTCGAACAGGCGGCTGGAATCCACTTCAGTCTGCCGTGGCCTTATGCAGAGCGTCTGTGTCTGTGGCAAGACTCTGACGTGGACAAGCTGACAAGCGCTGAGGGTTTATGTCGTGTGTACACATAACTGACAGATAGCACTCAACCGAGGGCCCCCTGCAGCTCAGCCAATTACAGGCTGCCATTCTCATCACACCCCCACACCCATACTCACTGCCCACATAGTCTGCCAGGCCCTTTGACCTTGCACACAGTGTCTGAGCTGGACAGCAGGCAGGAGTTGAGTGCCTTTCACTAGCAGCACAGAGGTTTTGATGTTGAAAAGCGCTTAAGTGATAATACTCACTCAGAGTTGGGATCCGCCTTCAGGAAAGTTTGGATGACCAGCGGTAACTCAGACTTCACAATGTACAGGTAGCTGGACATAGCTGTAACAGACGAGACAGAGAAGAGGTGAAAATGTGGCCAATCATGATTCGCTAAGCCATGTCACATTATGTTTGTGTAAGTGACAGAGCAGTAGCTACTATTGAGGACACTGAGGTCATGTGTTTTAGCAGCATGGGGGAGGTTACTGTCTACAATTTAAAATAATTAACACATAGCGGTAATTTATCGGCAGATTTGACACTGTTTATTTAAAAGACTTAGTCTGACAAAAAGGCCAGAATTGTATTGCTTTCATACAACATTAAGACGGTCAAGTTGGGGAACATAAATATACTGTTTCAGTCATTTTTCAAGCAAAATTACCAAACATTGCCAAGCTTCTCCAGAACGTATCTGTTTTTCCTCCCAGGTTTATTGGCATTTTATCGGCACTATTGTGATATAGTATTTGACCTCAGTAATTCTAAAATCCTGGCCATGACCCTAGAAAGTGAGTTACTGGTTTCAGTGAGCCAATCACAACACCAATCAACGTCAATCCATGTGTAGTTATTGCACCTACTTAGGGCTACTTATGAAAACCCATGCATTAAGTTTTTAAGCATTAAGCATTATAAATGCAACCAATCATGTTAATCGTGCCTCTAATGTGTCTACAAAGCTTTGGTCAGAAACAACCGGCCATACATGCGGCTCAGTGAGTGGGTGAAACTGTTGTTATTGCCAGTAGGCAGCAGCGGGAAAGCAGCTATTTACCAACACTTCTCCTGATCTTTGCTCTTAGTACATCCTCATGTTCCAGCACATACAGCCAGGAATAATAGTCACAATAATAACGGTTTGAGGAATGTAGTTGTGTGTGTGGTTGAGTGGGGAATATCATTATAACTCATGTATTCTACTACAGGGCGTCCACAAACTGAATCACTAAGTCACATTGGCTCCTCACCTCCAATATTCTGCAGGGTAATCGCTATACCAGCAGCCATTTTTCCAGGAGTACCAAAGGACCTGTACCCCAGCTCTTCATAAGCTCGAATTCCTGTAAACATTAATACTCACTCAGTTATGTTTGCTGAGACGTCCCTTTGAGCAACAAAAACAATTACAAAAATGTAAAATAATTAAAATGTTGTACAACTGTGACTGTTGGGTGAATGGGTTAAATGTATCAGATGTTGCAGAACTGTTTTTAAGTACATATCATTTTGATTTCTTCACAAAAGGCAGAGACATGACACAAATCTTACCCACAATGCCAGAGGATTTCAGCAGGAGATGAATGGAGTAACATGACAAGGCTGCTACTGCAGTCAGGAGAAACCTATTACACAATACAGAAGGAACAGTCATATACTGAAGGTTTATATATGTCAACCGTGTATTTCACCAAATTCTACATTGCTTCTGGGATTATAACCCTGGCCTTACTCTTCTGACCATTTCCATGTACATTACAATAAAACAGTCGCGATGTATTGTGCATGTTCTTAGATGCTACCGCCAATGTGACATAATTTATTTACACAATTTATTGTTTGACCTGACTGTGTGTTAATGAGAGAACAAAAAACATTTCATTAAGCCTGGGAAGTTGAACTTCAGTAGTGGCTGATTTTTCACAACGTCACTGTCCCGCCTTTGCATGACATTTGACAGCTGATGGTGTTCATTGCTTGAAAATGTTGATTGTACAGTATAAATGTTAATTGTACAGTATTATTGTGAGACTTTACCAAAGGTTGAGGCAGATGTTCTGCATTAAACAAGACGAGGCATTCTTGTAATAATACTTATTTTTAGAATATAAATGCTCCCGATTGATTGAACTCAACAGTCCTACACATGGATGAAAACCATATTTCCCACAACGCGAGTTGCAGTGGTCCTCTTACAGAGTCAAGTCAGCAGGGTTGTGAGGTCAGCATTATGGGTCAAAGGTCGATCCAAAATCCATCCCCTTTCTCAGACCTTTTCCCAGCATTTCTGTACACTCTGCATTTCCTGTAGCCACAACATAGCGAGAATACCACTGGCCCTTGTGTGTAGGCGGAGGGATGGAGGCCGAGCCCTCAGATTCCACTGAACAGTCATTAGCAGCATTACAACTGCTGCGCAAACTGTCCAACCTCCCTCAACTCAAAAACAAGCATTTATTTGATCTGCTTTTTAGTATATTACATTACTTGTGTCAATGAAGAAATATTCTTCTCTGGATCCTGACGCCTTCTTTGACTGATCTATTTCTGTGTCTCACTGGAAATAAGCTGGCGTGGAGTGAGAATGTCTATTTGTATCTCTGCTGGTGGATCAAGGGTTCTCTTGACACTATCGGCTATAATCTCCACCAGAGCCACAATGAGGGGAATAACGTTTGTAGCACAAAGAGCTACTGAGGCAACAAGGATCAAACATCTAGACTCTAGAGCAAACTTGTACGAACAAAGATGAATAAACATGCTTTGAATCCAAAACACAAAAGTGACTATCGGGTAAAATATTGCAGATATTCTTGACACATGACGCTCTGAAGCATGTGTAACAATACCAATGCAGTCAACTAGGTGACATGTATCAATGCTTGATGGTCTTCTTTTAATGAAGTGCTCGTATAGAGAAATGAATCCCCCAGCCTGGAAAGCTCTTTTGTTTGCTTTCTAGGAATTACACTTTTGAAATGCCTCTGTCTGGTCCGTTCAAAAGAGCCACTTGCCTTTAATCGCATCAGAGATTAAACAGATTTTAAAAAGCAGTGCTGTCTAATGCATAAAAACACAGACTTAAAGTAAGACAAGCATTACACTGAGATACAGTGTAATGATAATAAGATATAAGGATAACATAGAAAATAGTGAAATGCAAATAAACACAGGTAATCTATAATGCTTTAAAACTGATTGTAATGTAGCCATACTACTACTACGAATAATAATCTCCATATGTCATGCTGTTAATCATACTAGAGGATTATATCTGGTGACTCAATCAAACCTACAGTTTTTCAATAACTCTCAAGTCTGTGTTTTGTGCTTCTTAGAACAGGCATAATGTACATGCACATGCTGTTTATTGAATGTTATGTTTGACATAAGTTGTCATGATATTAAAGACTGTTAACTGCAGGTTGGTTGCCTCAGGTTGCTTTGAAAACTCATGTAAATATAAATTTCTGTTGCACCTACTGACATAGCAATGATAAGATCCCCAAGCATATATGGTTAGAATAACTCTGACCTAATTCCGAACAGGAATTTCATAGGAAATTACCTTTCAGCCTCCTTCATGAGAGGAGTTGAATCTATTACACTGAGGCCGTTCTATACCTAAGTCTTGCTACTTGCTCTCTGCAGCTACGGAGACACAGACGACATGACCAAGACAACCAGGGTCACGATCTGACAGCAACATTGTGGTAAGAGCAGAAGGAAGTACACGAGCAATCCAGATGCCTCACAGAGGGTCTGGAGGATCGGTTATTCTGGGCTGTGGCCTTTCTGGGTTCTGTATGCGGCAACGGGAGCAGGGATGGGAGCTTGGAAAAAGGTATGAGTAAAGATGAGCATATCATGGTACACGATATGTTCCAAGAAGTCATGCCAGACAGTAATTCACTCCTGTAAGTGGCACCACTCTGGCCCTCAATCGTACCACCAAAGCAGCTCACTCCTCAAGTGTAATCCCTAAGGAAGCACATTAGAGAATCTCAGGACTCTATAATGCTTTTGGCAAATAGTTTGATAGTTTTTTTTACCACTCTTAAGTAAATTAAACTAATAGTGTTGTAGTCATGACCACCTAAACCGAGACCAAGTCATGAGTAAGACCAGAGTATATCGAGGCTGAGACAAGACCAAGACTTTGAGGGGGCAGGTCCGCGTCAAGACCAAGACCATACCAGTGTGAATCCCACACTGCATACACTCCTACGATAAAATGTGAGACATTGACACTCCTCAAATGGATCTGAAAGATCCACATTCCCATAAAAAAAACACTCAGATGAAGATTCCTCTTCATTCACCTCTTGTATTGCCATATATACTGTGTGTGTGTAATGAAACTGACAACAATGCAGCACTGAAACCATTGATATAACTGACTTTGCCTGTATGCAGGTTCTAGCTCGTATTTTGTCATTTGCCACCCGTTGATAAACACACTTATTTACTCACAAGAAGAGGAGTATGCCAGTGTTGGCCATGGCATACGCCAGTCCCAGGATTCCACTGCCCATAATAGCATTACCCAGGTTGAAGACGGACATGCCAAAAGACATCTTTCCTTCAAACTAAGAGGGGGAAGAAACAAGAGCACACAATAAATGTACAATTTGAAAAAGCATAATCCTCACTCTGTTGTTTTTTGTCTGTAAACTTGACTCACATCTTTGAAGCGGATTTGTTTTTCTCCATCCGCACTGGGCAAAAATTCCTCATTCTCCAGTCCTCCATCAATATCATCAAATCTACAGGGCAAAGTTATAATTGTCAATGGATGGTCTCTCTATCTATCTCCTAAAACTGTGCACATATCTCCTGTAGACTTGCTTATTTTTCTGTATTATCATATGCATGGAAACAAATATGCAGTTTCAAAAGTCTTCGTACAAAGCTGCACAGACATACCCGACTGTTTGAGTGCCATTTCTGAATAAGGATCCACCCGATGAGGTGAGCAAAAAACAATGTGAACATGCATTTAAAAGCGTTTATCTAGGTTGTAAGTCCTACTGTATGTTCCTCGCCACATCCATTATCCTGGTCATTATTATATGATAAACTCTTATCATAAGGACAAAGGTATGTATGCAAATCAAAGCATCCAAAAGTGTCTTTGTTTAGTTAACTTAAACGACAGTTGTTTGAATAATGCAGGATGTGGTTTTGAATATAATACAGAAAGACAAAAGGTATAAAAAGTGCTCGGCACATGCTGTGTTATAATGCCATTAACAGTATGTAAATGACAAAGGGCAGCCATTCGTCTGTGTTTAAAATGAAGGGGGAATACTCACTGATCCTCTTCTGGCAATGTCTTCATTGGCATCCCTAAGTCACCTTCAAGTTCGTGACTTTTCCCGTTGGATAAGATGTTCATCTCTGACTGAATTGGTTCCATAGTCCAAGTAGGAAATGATTATTTTTGGCTTGTATGTATACAATGAAGATGATCCTTTATAGTCGCTCAATATCTTGAATATCTGGGACAGAGAAAGAAAGGACATGAATTATTACAGTATAGGTCATGTAAAAACGTCAAAGGCTCTCTCCAGAGACATTGTTTGGTTTGCCTGTAATTGCCTTTTTTTGCCTAATTGTAATTATTTACAATTCATTTTCAATTTCAAAGAGCAGTGTTCTATCTACTAGCTCAAGGTTCTGGTTTTACTGCACCTGCACTTCTGTAAATTCTGCGATCAATGACGGACATCATGAATTCAACATGTGTCTATACAACATCAGGGTAACGATGACTCAGTTCTACTGTTGACACGGGGACTTCCAATCTCGTCCAATCTGTTCACTGAAACTTTTGCAATAAATACACCAACATGAACAGTACATACGTAGCTGGAAATGATCAAAGGTTGGAAAGTATGGCAGATTTTTTGTGCTGTCCAGAATTTCAGTACTGAGCCAAGCAAACAAGTACAGACTACATGGTCAACGGTCAAAGTCTGCTTGAGTTTTTTACTTTTGTTTGCTCTTGTCCGTTGAGTTAATGTCACAAACCTGCAGATTATCAGTGCTACTGTTCGCATCCCACACACTGACGTGGTGGTCTTTAGGACGAATATAAGCACAACGTGAGTAAACTAAATGCTAAATCACTCACAACAGCAGGCCTCAAATTAGTGAGAGAGCCGTTTGCAAAACTGTTATTACCGTATTACTATAATCATACATTTCAACAGTATTTTTCCTTAATGAGCATGGGGTTTTCTGTAACAATAGTTTGAGGAGAAAGAAGGCATATTTTTGTCAACCGATTAATCACTATAAAACTATAAAGACTTCTGTGGGAGAATTCACATCGCTCACATCCAATCAAATTATCAATAACTAAGAACTATTAATAATATGTGATTGCGTCACACCATGACCCAAGTGACATACTGAATACTCTTCACCAGAACTCAGAGAGACAATGTGGTTTTGTTCGCTGTTTCCTCTGTGACAATTGTACAGCAGCTCAATTGTGTTCACGGCGTCCTCTCAGCCAAAAGATCCCTATTACTGCTATTCACACTGTTGAAGAGGGCGATTGATACAAGCAGTGCAGCTACAAAAGAAGGCCGAGTAGAATAAAACAAAGTCCCACTGCACAACATAAACACAATAATCAGGCACAGATGCCAATCAAGAAATGAATAATTTCCTCCAATAAAGAAAATGTATTTAAACCTAAAAACATATCATCTAACTTCAATGAGACCTTCCATTGCCACATCTATTCAGCCATTTTATTTGCCCTAAGTTAACATGTCCCGTAACATAGCGACACATGTAAAAGCCCGTAATGTCAATACTTCTTGTTGCAACACCAGACTTTGATAATGATCATTTCCAGAGAAACTGGGGGTAAAAACAGGATAAACAGGCTTATTTTAAGCGTCACATCAAGATATCGCTCCAGTCTTCCCCACTGTAAATTATAAAAGATGTGCCTGTTGTGGCCTCCAGGAGAATCCAATCACTGTTTAGGTGCATTAAAAACTAGAAAACAGTAGATGAGCTTGGCGCCACTAACATTTACAGTAAATACAGTAGGAGGCTCATTATGAAGTCTCATGATGTTGCCGGTGTTCTGCCCATATGATCACTGTTTGCACTGCATACCCTTTTAACCTGACAACAGCTGCGCCTTGAATAATGCGTCTAATCAGAAACAGTTACAATTTTTTCAGTCAATGGTGATGTAGAAAATGCTAATACTAGCTAAACCTAGAGCGCCTTTTTTATTATGTGGTGTCAGTGAGGTTAATGTTTTCAGGTGTTTTATTTGTTACTTTTAATATCCTGAATTTTACTAGTCAATTTTGTCAAGACAGAAGTCATTGAGGACAGATGGAAGACACAAAAGATGGACTGTGATGGATGTGTATTTAGCACAGGAAATCAAAGAAAAACCCAAATCTATATCAAAGACCCTGAAAACACTTGCCTATACACTGTATGAAATGCAAAATCACACTCAAAAGCTTATTCTTCTTTCTAATAAAACTGTATTCATGCGAAATCCTTTGCAAATGGATATTTCTATTTGACTGATTAGTTTGCTGCTTTCAGTCAGAACAGTTCTTATTTATTTCAAATGAAAATGTTGAAGTTAGATAAGACCTTCTGAGTAGTAGTGCAAGGCAACATAGCTGATAACAGTACAGCATACAAACACAATTCTAAAATCACCATTACACACTTCCAATTAAGTCATTCCAATTAATTGCTAGCATAAGCCAGGGAGTATTTTCCATAGGAAACTATAAGGGAAAACACACACCCATAAAGCAGCATTCTCTGGGATTTTATTAAGTGTGGTAAAGACCTTTAAGACCACATCAATCTGATGCAGTTAAGGTGCAACAACAGGAAGTCACAGTGAATTAGCAGCATTAATAAAACAGGACTGGAACTCTGTGGAAACTTCCGTCAGGTACAGACCAAGTCTGAGATCAGGTAACTGTATGCAAAATGATTCTTTAAACAGACACATGGCTGATATTAGGCAGTTTGGACCATTTAGCCATATGTGTGTCTATAAACCTGTCCCTCAACACGATCCAAGACAGCTTGTTAGAGACCCAGCAGATGTGGTTTCTGAAGTGGCTGTTGCTGCTGCCAGCTTGGTGCCGAAAAAAGGACTACGGTTTGCAGATCTTCATAGCGGTTTGGGTCATCTTGAGAACATCCTATTTGTATAGTTCAACTATACAAACATCAATGGTTATTTACATATGCATAACTTGCTTTGCACCAGTGTAACAATAACAACCTAAATACTTTGTACAATTGTGCCACAAAGGAGGGGACACCAATTCATTGTTTGCAGAAGGTGTAAAAGCTGCAAATCTAATTGATTCTTCTGATCTACCTCTCTGTCCGTGTCTTTGTTTCCTGCTGACTTCAAATGATCAAGTTCAAATGTAAAATGGTTGCCCTCTGTATCTAGCAGGTAAAATCTACCAAGCCTTAAACAAGTTCACATGTTCTATTCAAGAACATCTGCATCAACCTCTTGGTAACTAAATTATAACTATACGTTTCTGGGTGAGTGATATGATGTTTCTATAGCAATAAAACACTTGAAATGAAGTCCTACGGGCAAAGAAAACCACTAACTATTTACAGATATGATCCGTGTCCGTATGAAAAACTGCATATCATATCCTCTTTTACTGAGCACCATGGGAGTCCCCCTTACACTCTTACACCTCTACTGCAGCCCATTGTGTTATATAATAAATGAGCCCTAAAGGAGCATAAGAGTGAAAGGTCTCAGTCTGAGTAACTGGACTTAAGTGACATTTGAAATGTTTGAACAGGTGGGAAGGTGAATAGTGATTAACTGTTAGATTTTTCTGTCTGTTGGACATTAATGTGAGAGAATCTTTATTAAAAACACTTTACTCCCACAATTATTTCCGATCTCTTCTCGTGTCACTTGGACATAAAACAGGGCAAGCACGGGACAAGTGGGGCAACAGTGGGCGCAGGAACAGGCACGAGGTTCAGTCAACAGTGCCTGGCAGCACCAGCTCGTCTCAGCCACGTGCTGCTGGGGACAGAGGAACACATGCTCATGTCCTATGTGATGTCGGCCAGCACCTGAATGACATATTCTGCTATGTGGCAAAGCAGGCTGGTTTTTATAATGGTCAATTCGTCATGAACTACAACCATTTTAAATGCTTCAAACAACTCTTTAGGTCAAATGAACAACAATCTGGAGCAGTGAATTTTTTTTTATTGCCAGTGGATATTCAATCTGTAATAAAGGATTAGTTTTTGGAATAAACACTAGCTATTTCTATGTTCTCATTTGGAGAATGTAAGGAAAGGAGAGACTTGTTGTGAAATGATCCATATATGCTAGTCTTTATGAAATTCTAAATAATTCTGAGAGAAAGATAATTAATGTACTAACACACAGAAAATACTTTCAATCATAACTCAAACTATATAAAAATTAAACTTCAACAGCTTTGATACTGCATCAAATAGTTGAATGAAATAGATGATGTTCCCATTTCACCCGCTACCCTCCTCCTCATATACCAATAATAGTGTCAGCCTTTCTGACTAGATAGCACAATTTGAAGATATATTACGATTGTAGATTGAACAAAAAAACTAGAATCTTTACAGAGTAAGCCTTAACATTTAGGGAGGTGTTATGTACAGCAAATTGGAAATGTTTCCCTTGGGACAGCCAAATTATGTAACCTTCATCCTCAAAGGGAATTTTCAAATGAAATACAAAACAAAAGCTCGAGGTGACATTCATGCTACTAAAGGCATTAGCTTTCTGTGTCACAGCCTATAATTATATTGGTATTAAAGCAATGTGAAGCTTGACAGAACTGACACACTGAAGATTAAACTACATCACAAGTTAGCTCTTGTCAAGCTACTGATGCTTTTCAGGTCAGCAAAGCTTGCCCTGACTTTTGAACAGAAAAACCAAAGTCAAATGTAACCTCCATCATATTTGACCTGTCTGATGAAACATAGGTTGGTTGGTATGTCACGACTACTGTTTGCCTTTTTTCAAGTATGATTGAAATTAATTTAAAAATACACATTGCATACATGCTTCTTTGAAAAATTCAATTTCACGGTTGTGTGGTAAAATCCCCTAATTAGTTTGGTCTCTCATTTTGAGGACTAATGGCTGACTGCACTTTAAGTCAAGTATGTAGCATCCATTAATAAATGGTATATAGGAAAGAGAAGAGGCAACAACACAAACAAGTTCAATTCAGAGGGCTTTACAATCTGTACACCTACGATATCCTCTTGTCCCAGAACCCTCACACTGGAACAGGAAAAACTCCTCCAAAAAAACCTTTAACGGGGAGAAAAGAGGGAGAGACCTGTGGGAGCGCAACAGAGGAGGGATCCCTCTCCCAGGATGGACAGAAGTGCAATAGATGCCATGTGTACAGAATGAACAACAGAATCTATATCAAACAGGTGATATTCAATGTGGTAAAAGTCAACAGAAAGTTTCATAATATAATCTCCCAGCCCACTAAAGTTTTCATGATTCTTCTGACTCTCTCATGCACAGGAATCGTTAAAGATCATAAAAGCAACACCACTAGAGTGAAAACAGCGAGCCAAGACATTATTTAACACGCTGTTTAACAAGCAGTTTAAACAAAGTGTTAGCTTTAGCGACATCAAACAGCCGGCAATCCTCCTATGTTATGTTAATCCAAGTAGCATGTAACCTGGTGGCAGGTGGAACCCTAACATTTGCCTTTCATAAAAGTATAACAGAAGCAAGTGCATGAAATGTTTCAACTTAGGGGATGACAAATGTGTAAAAACACATTTTAGAGAGGAATGGCTTATTTAGCTTTTTTAGCCGTGGGAGGTCCAGAACTCTTGACTTCATTAGCTGCATGACTTCATTGCAAGACAAACACTGGTACATACCCACTGGGCCAATAGTTTAAGCCCAGGCAACCATGACCAGTACGAATGCATGTTATAAGGGTGACACATCCTGAATCATGGTTGTAATACAGGACGTGGACACAAGCACAGAATGCCTGTAAAATCCAGTGCAATCTAATGCAGTGACCCTGCAATAAACCCTGCCTTTGTGGACCGTGTAAAATTTTTTTTGACACTTCATCTGCAAACTAGTAATTCAGCTGAGTGCATTATTGTGAAAGGTGTTCTCGGAGTAAAGAAGAAGTAGCTCTATGGTTGCTAATTGCTATTATGTGTTGGTGTCTACAGTTTCTAAAATGAAGGTGACTAGTAATATTTTATAGCTGATGGGAACGATGGCCATCACAAGAAAGTTTATAGAATGTATTATATACCAAACAACATGCATTTCAGTGTTTCAGTGTAACAATGGCAACTATTCAAATATCATCTTGGTCCATTTATTTGAAATGAAACTAAAAGGAAATGCTATTGTTGCGCTGTATCTTCTGGATGTGTAAATAGGCAACTGTTAGCGAACATGTTTGCCATATGAACATAAGAGGCGATATATGTCAGTGTTAACAGCTTGTCTCTGTCTTATGTATGTATTGTAACTTGTCACTTGACTATTTCTGCTTTCAAATTATATATGTAATTTAACTGCTCACATTCAGTATATGCTAGGGTTGTTTCTTGCTTAGTCTATGGTGATTTATTTCCTGAAAGTCTTCAAATTCAACAATATATGGCTCTACGTAGAATTTTGTAGGCACTGATTGCTCAAGAGGGAACAAATTCACTGGAGTGTCTGTGCCATTTTCTACCTGATAAGCTATAAAACACCACAATGCACAAAAAACGCTCTTTGAATGGACTGAAAGACCAGTCCAGTTTGAACTTTCTCATAAGATAATGAACATAACATTATCTGTCGGGACAATTTCAAAAAAGACAATCCTAAATATCAAAAAGCCTGCAGGGAACATATCATTTATTAAATAAATAAATGCAATTTAGTCATTTTCATATACACAACATCAATAAAGTACTTTATAATGACTTAAATATAGCACATGGTATGTTCAAGTTCAGCCCCACAGATTATGAGCCCCATGACAAGGACAATAATAACCTCTGGAGTGTCTGACACTTAACACTTGGGCTGAGTCAAACGCAGATATTCACAGGTCTCTTCAGTGTGACAGAGGAGAACAGCTGGCTGGTTCCCACATGGTTAAAACATCGGCGTCCACATGCCGCGCACCTGTCCAGCTTGTGCTCAAACTCTCAGCCACTTTGATCACTGCACATGCTGGGGTCACTGGCCGCAGTCGAGCTTATCTGCTCGTTCTCCACTGTGATGAACCCAGCATGTCAACCCATATGGGTTGGTGTTTAGATAGGGGCCAAAGTGAAAAACCTGTCCCCCTCAGCCATCCCACCTTAAGTACACACACTGAAGTTCTCTGGACAGTCGATCTGTATCCCAGAAACTGTGAGGTGTTCAGTCTTAATATGGTTGGTATTTAAAATAATTTGGAAAGTCACACTTGGAAAGTTACATGTTTTTAGCAGTACAACTACAGTTTTCCATGATGACCACTCAACACCTGCATTTAAGCAACTAGGGGTTAAGTTGTTTCACAGGAATATACACATTTCTACACCCACCGTTTTCTAAGTAAGTCAAAGACTGAAACTGGCAACGTGCAGGGTGCAACACATGAAACCTGGAGTAGGAGTAGAACATTTTCCAGGAGAATAACAGTCTAGCATAGACTTTATGCTTCCCTATAAACAAACACTCACTGTATTGTGTGATGAAACACATTTCATTCAAACTCAAAAATTGCAGGCAATTGGCTTGAAATCATGGTATAACCACATACAGTCTTTCCATTCCATTCCATTATCCAAACCGCTTATCCTATTCAGGGTCGCTGGAGCCAATCCCAGCTGAGATTGGGCGAAGGCAGGGTAAACCCTGGACAGGTCGCCAGTTTATCGCAGGGCATATGTAGAGACAGACAAACATTCACGCTCACACCTACAGGCAATTTCGAGTCTCCAAATAACCTAAGCTGCATGTCTTGGGACTGTGGGAGGAAGCCGGAGAGAACCCACGCTGCCACGGGGAGAACGTGCAAACTCCACACAGAAGGACCACCCGGGATCGAGGATCGAACCGAGGCCCTTCTTGCTGTGAGGTGACACAGCAAGAGTCACTACACCACCGTACACCACCGTGCAGCCCACATACAGTCTTGCTAAAAACAAAATTAAGCTCATCAAGCAGTCTGCATAGCAACGGCTATGTGGCGGTAGATTCTTTGCTGTTAGCTGTTAGCCGATAGCCAAACACACCATCCAAAACTCTGAAAGCTGTATTACTTCCACTGTGTCACTAGCTGCCCCCAGTGTCCGGGACCGGTTAAGAGCAGTGAGTGAGAGGTCCCTGAACATGCAGCTATAACTGACCACACAAAATATTATACAGTTTGCTGCAGAAAAGAATGCGAGATTGGCTGTGGACAGACACAGAGGTGCACTCTCACTCACGGACACCCTCACTCACACGCGCAATCGCATGATCCTCCTGGCGGAGATAATAATAATAATAATAGCAATAATAGAACTAGTGCAATAAAGTTTGGTTATGGGGTGATCTTTTAGTCAATAAAATGTCAATAAAATATCTTTACATTTAAATAAAAATGACAATTATCCTAATTCAAAATAGTTGATTGATGTATTGTTGATTAACTATTCATTTCACCCCTAAATATGCCACTCATTTCATATTGTTAGTTGAAATAGTAGATGGTATTCAACATGATAAATAGACAAGAAAGAGCAGGGCATTCAAATCACTGGCACACATTCATTTATGAACACTGCTCAAAGAAAACATTCAGAATCACAAAAGCACTGTCTCTCACTCATGAAGAAGAATGAAGGGGGGAATAACATTTCCTCCAAGTCATTATTTTAAGGCAATAACACAATATGTAACAGGCTCATTTAGCAACGAGTGCGCAGCATTCACTTCCCACACAGGGAGCTCCTCCTGTATATTTAGCTGACAATAACAATGGCAAAGCGCTTTAAAAAGCTGCTACTGGTGCTGTCTATTAGGCTGTCCTGACGCAGACTGTGTGGTGGGCTTCTATTTAAAACAAATTGGGCCGTTAGTGTGGGTCGGATATGATTTTGGTGGTCGGAGGAAAAGGAAATTGCGTCTTTGCGTTTACTCGATGCCATGTGGCTTAGTCACTCCCAGCAAAGTAAGGTATAAACTGAGTACACGACAGGAAAGGGATTTTTTGAAACTAACACAAGCTACCTAGAAATAGGCGTCATAAAATATCAAATAACTTTGATTCAGTGACGACAACTGCTTGTGAAAAAAAGAAAAAAAACATGTCAACTGAAACTAGGAAACATTTGCGCAACACTTTAATCAAACAAAGGTAATATCTGCTTGTGAGTCACACATTGGCCACGTAGACTAATCCCATTCATCCAGCGCTTTCTTTTACCTGTTGCATGGCGAGTTTAACCTGCAAGCTGATCCGACGTGTAGCTACTAGAGAAAGACTCAAAAAATGCAACACGAGTGCTCAGACAATAGATGGACAATTTGTCAGTGAGTCCTTAAAGCACATGGTCCTCACATCTGGACTTGGCGCTCACTGCGGGAGGACCAAACATATGCCATTCTTTCTTCATTGATCACCCCTCCAGAGGAAACAAAACTATATGCCTCAGTAGGCCTATAGTGTGCCATGTGATCATATAGGCTACAATATTCATAATACCCTGTCTGTTTTCATTATACCCATTACACCCCAGTGTGATTGGGAAAACCAAGGTTTTAACATACTACTTCACCTCAACCTTTCAATAAAACCGGTTAAACACAAACATCATGTCAAAGACAGCAGCAGCATCTCAAGCAAAACATCCTTTTTTTCTGTTTAAAGAATCCAATTTGTTCTTACCAACGGTTCTTGTCACGAATCTTCCAAATTAATTCCTGTGATGAGTGCGAGTAAATCTGATGGTCAGAATCTGCTTCTCCTTGCGTGTCTTCTCTTTCTTTTTCTCAGTGAAGGTGGAAGTATCTACATTGGCGTTTTCTATACGCACACCGTCGCTCTTTAAGTCAGCGGCAAACAAAATGCGCTCTAAGAAATGGAAGGCATCGAAAAACCCTCTGAAGCTCAACTGTGGGGGTTGCATTAGATCCGCCTCCTTCACCACCGCCCCCTACCCCTCCATATCTGCGCTGGTGGTTTCACTTCTTTCGCTGCATAGGTGAGAGAGATACAAGGAAAAGCAGAGATCGTGGCAGCGGTTATACGCTTTCCTTTGCCATGAAATAACTGAGCATATATGGGAGTGATAATGCGCACAACGCTGTGAAAATACAGTGCGTAAAACAAAGAGGCATCATAATGGAGAGAGTTGTAGTCAATATCGTTGTCATATAATTAGTAGTGGGAAGTAAATAATTGTAATTTCAATAGGACGTTTTTGATAACAACGGCATAAACTCCCCTTTCTCCACATTTACTCAGGCAATTCAATACATCAGTACAGTTCCCTACAGTGATGGTGTGGTATATTTCCCTTTCTCGGACTCTTCTCTCTGCCTGGTGCATCTGATCCAGCAGCTCCCAGCACGGGGCAGCCTGAGATTTGGCACCTGTTAAGAGGGTGGAATGTGGAGAGCTTCCCCCTGCTCACTCGTGAGAGAACAAAAACTGCTTGGACACTTAATACTGATGTGAGGAGGTCACCCTTCACCTCTGTCAGACAAATACCATGTAATAAATGAATTCACTAATTGATTTTAATTGCATAGTTGCACAGTAAGCTCAACCAAAGTCCATACAAACAATGATGAAAATGGTTATGGAATAAGGCATATGTGAGTTCACCAAGTTGGGAATACTTACAATTAAAGTATCAGCAGTAAATAACTTTACTCACATATACATCAGAATATAATTTAACTGCACTGTCCAGTAAAACTGTTTGGAAAATAGTTTTTAACCCACCAAAACATAAGCAGCACTAAAACATGTAACAAATAGTGGCACAAAACTCTCACAGAAATACAAATGTAAAACGTAAAATATAGTACAGTTTGATATTCAAACCCTTGACTGACAATGATCATTACATATACACATCTTCAATGTCTTTTACCACTGTAGCTTAAAGTGTCCAGCACAAGTTCACCAAGAAAGCCACCAAACAGAAACTAGTCTATATTCATTGGAGTGTCTCTTCTAGCGACCTCTGGAGGCCACGTTGGCTTGATGAGGTTTGAGGATACTAATGTTCAACAGTTTACATTAATTTAATCTTTGTTTACACCTCCATCAACTGTGTCATCTCTGCAGAGTAATTCAGAAAGGGCTTAATGAGTGGTGATCTTCATAGACAGTGACACTTTTCTTCTGACCTTTCAGATCAATAGACTCACTATCTAATGTCAGACAGAGACTAAACTGATGGCTTGACATTGGGGGAATATCGTTTAAAGAATACCAATATTAACTAACACACTGTTGAGCCGTCATGGTGTGGTGGGTCCAACTCCCTAAATGAAAGGGTGCACAACTGATGACCCCATGCCTGCAAACACTCTCAGCATCATATTGAAACATTTTCTTTCTATGAACATGATTAATGTGTAGATTTTTGACGCCAAAGGGGTTTCTAGTTAGCGGGTATAGTAAGAGTAATGCAACTAGCAGTACAACAGCTGGACAACTTGAGCAGGTAGATGAACATTACTATCAAACCAGTAGGGCCAACGACAGTTAAATGTTCATCCCTTGCATGTAAATTAACAGCGAGTGCCATCAATTAACAATAACAGCAGACTACCGTAATTTAACAGCATGATGTAGTTTTGTGAAGTGGTGGATACACGCTTCTCTATACAAGTTCAGTGAATCACAATCCATCTACATCGTACTGTCTATTGTAGGTTAATGTATCTGTTATGACGATAGAATATATTTTATTATTCAAACTGCTCATTGCCTAAAAGTCATTTTTGAGTGACAAGACGTGACCGACTGCTCCTGAACGTGACTTTGGACACAACAGCTTCAGTTCATCCTTCTGAGCAACAGCCATGTGGAGATCAACCGAGGAGCCGAGGTAACTTACGCTTATCATCCGAAATTCAAAGTCTCCAGTATTGTTTTGTCTTCATGACTATTGAACTGTTAACATCTCAGATAATGGTTCACTTGGTCTGTTTCATTACATTAGGTTGCTTATATTAGTGGAGCTAACGTTAGCTCTGTGACGTTAGCTAGCTCGAGCTCAATTAGCCTTAGAAAGGTTAGCTAGCAAACAGCATAGCAAGTTAAGTCAACATAAATAAAGTTAATCACCAATTACAGTGTTAAGATGTAACATTAGTAACCTAACTTGTGTTTACTTGTGCTCTATTGAACTGACTGAAGGACCGCAAACGGGACGATTATCAAAATGGAGAGCGGACCAGAAATCTCCGACATGTGTTCAAGACGATGAACAGTTGAGGTAACGCTAACAGGAACGTTAGTGTGTGTTATCCCAGGAGCAACATTAAACCAGATCAAACTCATTTTAGTGTTGAACGTTAGTCCATTGTGGTCCATTGTCTTAGCTTCATTTCTTCCCCTAACGTAATCAGCTCATCTCATAGTCTGTTCATTTAAACTGTATGGTATTGTTGTATTCATCATCATTTCCCTTTATGCCTCTTGGCATGTAGGGCAGCAACAAAAGTCTTCCACTCCTGTCTGTCCTGGGCGAGTCGCTGGATGGTGCCCCATGAGTGGTTTAGGCTCTGCATCTCCTCCACAGTTCTTCTCCACGTGTTTCTTGGTCGGCCTCTTTTTCTTTTCCCTTCTGGTGTCCAATGTAAGGCTGTTCTTTTAATATCAGCAGGATCTTTTCTCAACACATGTCCTATCCGTCCCCATCTTCTTCTCATTAGGATGGTCTCCATTCATTCTTGTTGGCATTTGTCATACAGTTCTTCATGTGAAATGGTGTTTGGCCAGAAAATGTGCAGTATTCGTCTTAAACTCTTGGTGTGGAAGGTTGATAGTCTGTTGAGGTCTTCTTGTGTCACTCTCCAGCATTCAGAACCGTACAATAGGGTGGATAAAACACAGCTCTGATACAATTTAAGTTTGGCCTTGATGGTGTACTGCTGTGACCTCCATATGTTATTTAGTACTTTGAAAGCGTTCCTTGCCTTATTAAGACGATTCCTGATGTCTTTATCTGTGCCCCCATCATGTCTGACAGTGCTGCCCAAATATGTGAACTCGTCAGTTTTAGGGAGATCTTCTCCGTTAACCTGAATTGGTGAGGGATTGGGAATGTTCAGAGTCATCACTTCTGTTTTCTATTTGTTGATCTTCAGGCCAATCTTCTGCCCAAAATCACTGAGGCGCTATGTTTTCTCCTGCATGTGCCGATGAGTATGTGAAAGAAGAGAGAGATCATCTGCATAGTCTAGATCTTCAGGTGATGAAAAGATTGTCCATCGAATGCCTCTATTTTTGTCTTTTTTGCAAAGACTTGCACTAATATGTTAACATATGTGAGGCACATGCGAACCCACAGTTGCACACCCAAAGCTTCTTTTAAGTGTGTGTTATCCTGGATGTCATAGAACTTTCCAGAAGTTCAGAACATTGTGTTTCTAATTTTTTTATTTTGTTTGTTTTACAGTCACTCGTCAGAGATTGAGGATACCAGCCAGACGCTGCAGTCAAGTCCTCTTTTAAGGTGTTCTCTCTCTTTATTGTTTTCATTCATGTGTGAGTTCATGCAGTTTAAATTAACTATACATGTGTATACAACTTGTTAACAAGCTAGACTGTGATGCAGTTCTATTACACTGTTCTTAATGCTATTTTAATTCAGTGTCTGAGGGAATGACACCGAGATCGAAAAGTGGCCGATGGTATGCCACTGTGGTTCAGCTGTATGTACCTATCCCTGGAGTGGTATGCTATTCAGCTGTATGTACCTATCCCTGGAGTGGTATGCTATTCAGCGGTAGGAACCTATCCCTAGAGTGGTATGTCATTGAACCACAGTGGCATACTGAATCTACTGAATCTGTTGGTCATATCAAAATATTGAATATACTTGCTCACACACTACAGCACTCTACACAACTCTGTCCAAATGTGCTTTAGAAAGGAGCAGAAGTTCTTTTCTCAATTTTAAAGTTTATTTGAAAGAATTACGTAAGCCCCTTCATGGAGAGGGGGATATGGCTCATCTTTCTCAAGCTGCAGATCAATGTTTGATATTTCTGAGAAAGCAGGAGAGGAAAACAACCATCCTGGGTTTCCACCTCAGACTGCAGGAGTTAGGCTGTATTGCTACAATATATTTATGTAACAGAAGAGGATGTGAGGTTCAGAACATTTCTCCCCGAGAGGTGAAAGTATCAAATCATGAGGCACCAAGAGGTCCAACAAATAACCCAAGGGATGTATAGTATTATGTTTCATTATGTAACACGCTTTGTTTGTATAAACTGACCTCCTTTTTGTGTGGATGAACAAAATCATTGAAACAAAATGCACAGGCCAGGTGAATGCACCTTTTACAGATCAGTTTGACGATGGAAAGTGTATGCCGTATCCAAGAATAACAGCCTTTCATTCTCCATTTACAGGATGGTTGAATTCTCTCTTCATCTCTTTCCACTGACGAACAGATGCACAAACAAAGACCTTGAACTCAGAGGGCAATGATCTCTTTAAACAAAAGACATGGGAGCAACAGAATTGATTCCCCCCCCTTAAACCTATTACAGCATCGACAAGGGGGATAGGGAAAAATGAAATCTGAGACACAATGGACTAAAGATAAATTACAGGCTGATACAAGTGTTGAAACCAAAAGAAGACTGGAAGATGGGTTTAAAAAAAAGACTCATTGTTCAAGTGTTTTTTTGGTGTGGCGTCTTAACTCAGCCCGAGAAACTCAAAAATAATTGATCTTTATACACAGATCCCTATTATTACATACAGTACTTATCTTGCACTGATCATCAGTATAAATAAACAGCAAAAGACTCCAATGGATTGCTTACGTTATTTCAGAAAAGTACCTCAAATGAATAGACAGAGAGCACCAGCACCGTGCTGATATGGTGCTATCAGTGATTATAAT